CTGACTGCAGCTTTTTGCTTTGAAGCAGGGTATAAGCAGACCTGTCAACCCTCCCGCATTTTAATGAAATCTCCCAGTCTCCCGCATGATGGACTGTTTCTTCCGCAAAACAGAATTCTTCATTATTTGAAAAATTCGCCTCCATTGTCCTGTGAGTAAAAACAATGGACGGGAAGTTTGCGTCCCGATCTGTCTGGTAGGCTCCCGGATTATCGAAACTTATCACAGCCACCCCCAGGGGGACCCAGATGGGCCTTTGCCCAGAAATCAACTGGTAATTAAATTCATATGGTGAACGATTGAACAATGTAAACTGTTAAGAAAACTTGGATAGACCTAACAGGGTTGAACTTGAAATGAACAATCAGCCAAGTATTCATCCCTTTCTGAAATGAACTGTTGTCTTCATGTTCTTAGTGTGTTTATTCTTCCATAATTTAAGAACGTAGATACATATGGCCGGTCCAGTTATACGTGACTTTATTGGTTATCAGATTTGTCAGAAACTTTGTTAAAACATCAACATACCTCAAAGTTACGTCATTGAACTCATGGAAATGAAAACAAAATATGTCCTGCAAGCGCCGTCTTCAGAAACAACACTATGCGTGATTGGTTGATTCGGTAGTCGAAATAACAATGTGTTACACAATCAGGCTTCCTCACAGCTAGGGTTTCAAAGTCAAAGTTTGTGTGCACAGCAAATATCAAAATAGAACTTTATCAAATTGCGCGAAAATGTATCATGTGATTATTTTACACGATTTGATTGGCTAATAGTTTGCAATCTAATTTGCATACAACAGTACTTGTCAACCAATGAGATTAATAGACGTCAAGGGCAAAAAAGACAACAACGACGAGACTCATTTCATTCATAAATTGTAGTAAAACGTAATAGTAGAAATTTAGGAAGCGAAGTAATGGGACTGTCAACAGACTAACGCAGACAGAAAAAAAACAGTATATCTTATTGAAATTAGGGACGATGATGTTGCGTCAGGGTAAATGCATTTGATATTTCTTTGGCGGATTTTGTAACCAGCATCGAGCCAAATACTCAGAAAACCTGCATCGTAACGAAGCCTGACAACTGGTCGGATTGAACACGTCGTCAACTGGTCAAGCTACCGATTGTGAAATTTCAATATCTGTTTGCGTTTATCTGAGATGATCTTTGAACGAAAGTTATATGGGTAGATTGTGCTAGGTTTACTTTTGGAGGAGGAAAATGCAAACGGAAATTAAGCAAGTTGTACGTATAAGAAACTTATTGATTATTTATTGTTTTTGGTTTTCATAGAAACATTATTAAAAATGAAAATTGGAAATCATCTTATCTTCACTATTTTAAAAATCTCCCCCTTTGGAGGCAAATCTCCCCCATTTTGAAGTCAAATCTCCCACATTGTCATGATGAAGGGTTGACAGGTCTGTATAAGGGATTTATTCTGCCTCTCAGAAATCCATGTGTAGCCTGCATTGCTCGTGGCGGGGTATAAGAGATTTATTCCCCTGCTGAGAAATTTATTTCCCTCGAAGGCTTTATCGAGATCACGTGGACCAATCAGATCTCCTTATTCTGACATGGAGGTATGATAACAACACGTCTCACTCTTTTCATGATATAATTTCAACAAAACTATATGATTACTGCATGTTTCTAATATCACAAAATGCAAACCTTCTTTTCCAAAATCTTAAACCAACTCCATGCTTGCAAATTTTAGCATCACACAAGCACTAAGAATTTTGTCTTGAGGCACAGCATGTTGATGTGAAAGAAGACTGAAGGTCATAACTAATTTGATGAAACTACCAAACATAAGACTGCCATAATCTAAAATAAATTCATGTCTGTCAACTTCTTAAATTGATGCATTTCTGCTGAGCTTTACTGTTTGTATACTATTTTTTGTGGTTCCGACTCTGATTATTCAGTTCAACTATTCCCTGTTCAGGCTGACTAAAAACGTTCTCCATTGTACAGATGACTTCAGAGCACACCAGTAGTCTTATTTTGATTCAGATCAATTTGGTGACTTTTTCTTACAATTATTCTGTGTGTACATCTTCACATTGAAAACTTGAGTAAGAATTTCAAACTTTTGAAATCTGAACTTCAAAAGTACATTTCAACATTTGTTGGAGTTGTAATGTTCCAAACAGGGAGGTCAGGAGACTTTATTCTATAACTCTTCACAATTTCTTCAACAAGTTTTATAAAATAACAAAACTTGAAAGGATATGGTATAGTTGTGCTATTCGTTTCATTATTACTGCAGTAATTTCAGTTCAAAGAAGGTTTTATTGAAAAAGGTTTTCTGAAAAGTATTGAAAGAGTTGAAATGAAACTAGCCATAAATTTCATTTGGATAACTTCAAATTTTGGACATGAAGCCAGCTTATAATTATAACTGACAATAATAAAATAAAAATTACATGTTTTTGAAACAGTAATTGTTTAAGGAAATGATATGGCAACAACTGTTGACAGCCATCTTTTTTGCTCATATCATTTTCACCAATATGTGAAAAACAAGAGCTGTTAACCAAGTTTGAGCTATGCCCCTGGACAAAACTTTTTCAAAATTCCAAGCTTACTAAAAATATTAATTGCTTGTGTCAGACTTTGAAACTTTAAAATATCCAACTTCACAGTTTTTCTCTCATTCAGCAGACTCATACTTTCAACGAAGTGTGTTTAGATAATAAACAACATTCATTGATGTTGCTGTTGGCGGTGGTGGTTTTGGTGGTGGTGGTGGTGGTGATGGTGAAGGTGATGGAGGGGATGGGTGCCATTGCCGACACCATTCATTAAGATCTATTTCAGATTCGGACAATAAATACGCAAGTTTTGACATTTCTCTTCTCTAAGTGCCAAGATTGGGTTGAGCTCCAGGACCAGTCAGTCCTTGTTAAAGAGACAGTTATGGCACTTTCCAAAAATACAACCCACTCTGTCAGCTCTGATTAATCTTCATCTATGTTATACGCTAATCATATGTTAGTCTATCCACCGTTTGGAGGGAACATTCATTTTCATTATCACTCACATTGGATGACTATTTCTCCATCTCCTATCTACAATGTCAGTCATTAATTATCCATAAGTCGGTCAGAGGCATTAAAACAAATATCACACTTTGGTAATCTTAGAGTTTAGTAGTGTGAAGAGTGGCAAAATATATGCCACTTCGCAAATCCATATTCCATAAAAATTTATTTTGAAAATGCGCCTCAATTTAGCATATGAAATAACATATATATTTTTGTGATAATGATGCTAATGATTGGGTTTGGTTTTCAGGATGATTGGTTTGAGTGAGTGAGTGATCCAACACTTTAACCACTAGACTAACTGAGGGGGATTTGCCTGAGGAGAATTGGTTGAAGGAGGGCTTGTTGGAGGAGAATTGACTAGAAGAGGATTGTTTGGTGGAGATGTGGTTTGAGGACAATTGGTTTAAGGGGTTTGAGGAGGGCTTGTTGGAGGAGGATTTGGTTGAATGGAACTGGTTGGAAGAGGATTTGGTGAACGAAAATTGGTTTCAAGGAGGGCAGGTTGGAGAAGGATTGGTTTGTGGAGGATTGGTTGGACGAGGGCTGGACGAGGGCTGGAGGATTGGCTTGAAAAGGATTGGTATGTGGAAGATGGAAGATGTTGGATGGAAATTGGTTGGAAAAGGATTGGTTAAAGTAGGATTGTCATGAGAAGGATTGGTTCGAAAAGAATTAATTTGTGGAGGATTGGTTTGAGGTGGAGTGATTGGTGGAGGATAAGCTTGAGGATGATAAGTTTGAAGATGATTTGGTAGAGGAGAATTGATTTGTGGTGGAGTGGTTGGAGGGGGAATGGAATGGGGGAATCGTAGACTGAAGTCCCCGAGTTTCATCATTAGCACAGTAGCATTTATCAATTATGCTGAGTCAACTACAAAAGTAACGTTTGGGTCGAGACGTTAAAACTGCCCCCAGTTGTGTTGCAAAACTAACATATTTCTTTAACGCTGTTGCTTTTACTCACAAGCAGCAGAATCTCTGCATTTGTGCACAGCAGACGTAATTCAAAATTAACACATTGTTTTTAGTCTTCAACAATATCAGTAAGTGTACTTTTGTGTGACTGGATTTCTGGCCTTTTCCTGGTTGTTCACATGTCACCGTTGCATGGCTGTGCCAAGTCAGGCAACAAGCAAGGCAACAAGCACATACATTTCATAGCAAATTGTGTGAGTCACGGGTGCTATCAGTAGGGCTTGCATCCTCTTTTCGCAAATACCTGGTGTCATCACTGATTTTCAATGATCTATTATTTTGCCTTTTACACTCAATTGAAGAGGATAATCAAGACTGGTTATTCTCTGGTGTTAATGTTTTCTATATTTGAGGGGGAAGAATGGTTGCATGAACAATGGTTGGAGAAGGCCAGGTAGAGGATGATTGGTTATGAATATGAGATTCCTTATGATCATGGAAAAGGTATTCAATGTTTAGTTCAATGAGAAGGATTGGTTCAAAAATGGTTACTTTGAGAATGATAGGTTTGAGAATGATAGGTTTGAGGAGGATTTTCTTGAGGAGGGCTGGTTTGAAAAGAATTGGTTGGAATAGCATTCGTTGGATGCATATTTTTCAGAGAACTGGATTGAGTTGGATTGGTTTTGATAAGGATTTGTTTGAAAACGATTTGAATGAGGATGTGTTGGAGGGAGGTTGGTTGGAGTGTAATTGGATTGAAAAGAATTGAGTTGCAGGGCAACTGCTTGGAGATTAGTTGGTTAAAGTAAGATTGGTTTGAAGAGGATTTGTTTGAAGCTGATGGTTTCAAAGGAATTGTGTTGGAGGACAATTTGTTAAAGGAAGATTTGCTTGGAGAGGATTTATTGGAGAATATGAGGAGAATTTGTTGCAGGAGGATTTGTTGCAGCAGGATTGGTTGCAGTAGGAAGAGTTTAAGGAGGATTTGTTGCAGCAGGATTGGTTTGAGGATTTGTTGCAGTAGGACTGGTTTTCGAGGGCTTTGATGCAGGAGGATTGGTTTAAGGAGGGGTGGTTACAGGAGGATTGGTTTGAGGACGATTTCTTGCAGTAGGGCTCATTTAAGGAGGATTTGTTGCAGTTGGGTTGGTTTGAGGAGGATTTATTGCAGTAGGATTAGTTTGAGGAGTATTTGTTGCATTAGGGTTGGTTTGAGGAGCATTTGTTGCAGTAGGATTAGTTTGAGGAGTATTTGTTGCATTAGGGTTGGTTTGAGGAGGATGTGTTGCAGTAGGATTAGTTTGATGAGGATATGTTGCAGTAGGATTGGTTTGAGGAGGATATGTTGCAGTAAGATTGGTTTCAGGCGGATTTGTTGCAGACAGTGGTTTGAGGAGGATTGGTTGTAGCAGGACTCGTTCAAGGAGGCTTTGTTGCAGTGGGATTGGTTTCAGGAGGATTTGTTGCAGTAGGGTTGGTTTGAGGAGGATTTGTTGCAAGAGAATTGGTTTGAGGAGGATTTGTTGCAGTAGGACTAGTTTAAGGAAGATTTGTTGCAGTAGGACTAGTTTAAGGAGGATTTGCTGCAGTAGGACTGGCATGAGGAGGATTTGCTGCAGTAGGGTTTGTTTGAGGTGGATGTGTTACATTAGGGTTTGTTTGAGGAGGATTTGTTGCAGTAGGACTGGCTTGAGGAGGATTTGTTGCAGTAGGACTGGTTTTAGGGGGATTTGTTGCAGTAGGATTGGTTTGAGGATATTTGTTGTATTAGGGTTTGTTTGAGGAGTATTGGTTGCAGTAGTACTGGCGTGAGGAGGATTTGTTGCAGTAGGGCTCGTTTGAGGAGGATTTGTTGCAGGAGAATTGGTTTGAGGAGGATTGTTGCAGTAGGAGTAGTTTAAGGAGGTGAGGTGAGGTGAAATTGGGTTTAACGTCGCGTCCAAGATTATTGCACTTATATAGCGACGTGCATGCACGTGTATGTGTGTGTGTGGCTGCTTGTACTAGTCCGGACTGATGCCGATTTATAGTGCTAGCTCACTGAGATACCATGCCGCAGTTTAACATGAATACCCCACTCAGACACAGTATACTGACTCCGAGCCGACCAGTCCTTGTTTTAGCCCCTTAATGCCGAGCGCCAGACAGGGTAACAACAAGTACAATCTTTTAACGTCTTTTTGTATGACGCGGCCCGGGATCGAACCCCGGACCTTCCGCTCTCCGGGCGGACGCTCTACCACAAGACCACGGAGGCGGTCAGTAGTTTAAGGAGGATTTGTTGCAGTAGGGTGGGTTTGAGGAGCATTTGTTGCAGTAGGACTGGTTTGAGGAGGATTTGTTGCAGTAGGTTTGGTTTGAGGAGGATTTGTTGCAGTAGGGTTGGTTTGAGGTGGATGTGTTGCATTAGGGTTTGTTTGAGGATTTGTTGCAGTAGGTTTGGTTTGAGGAGGATTTGTTGCAGTAGGATTAGTTTGAGGAGTATATGTTGCAGGAGGATTGGTTTGAGGAGGATATGTTTCAGGTTTGGTTTGAGGAGGATTTGTTCCATTAGGGTTGGTTTGAGAAGGATGTGTTGCAGGAGAATTGGTTTAAGGAGGATTTGTTGGAGAAGGTTTGGTTTTAGGGGAATTTGTTGCAGTAGGATTGGTTTGAGGAGTATTTGTTGCATTAGGGTTGGTTTGAGGAGGCTGTGTTGCAGTAGGCTTAGTTTGAGGAGAATTTGTTGTAGTAGGATTGGTTTGAGTAGGATTGGTTGCAGTAGGTTTGGTTTGAGGATTTGATGTAGTAGGACTGGTTTTAGGGGGATTGGTTGCAGTAGGGTTGGTTTCAGGATATTTGTTGCAGTAGGATTAGTTTGAGGAGTATTTGTTGCAGGATGATTAGTTTGAGGAGTATATGTTGCAGGAGGATTGGTTTGAGGAGGATATGTTTCAGGTTTGGTTTGAGGAGGATTTGTTGCATTAGGGTTGGTTTGAGAAGGATGTGTTGCAGGAGAATTGGTTTGAGGAGGATTTGTTGGAGAAGGTTTGGTTTTAGGGGAATTTGTTGCAGTAGGATTGGTTTGAGGAGTATATGTTGCATTAGGGTTGGTTTGAGGAGGCTGTGTTGCAGTAGGCTTAGTTTGAGGAGGATTTGTTGCATTAGGGTTGGTTTGAGGATTGGTTTGAGGAGTATTTGTTGCAGGAGGATTGGTTTCAGGAGGATTTGTTGCAGTGGGATTGGTTTGAGGATATTTGTTGCATGAGGGTTTGTTTGAGGAGGATTTGTTGCATTAGGGTTGGTTAGAGGAGGATTTGTTGCAGTAGGGTTGGTTTGAGGAGGACGTGTTGTATTAGGGTTTGTTTGAGGAGTATTGGTTGCAGTAGGACTGGCGTGAGGAGGATTTGTTGCAGTAGGGCTCATTTGAGGAGGATTTGTTGCAGGAGAATTGGTTTGAGGAGGATTGTTGCAGTAGGGTTGGTTTAAGGAGGATTTGTTGCAGACAGACTGGTTTGAGGAGGATTGGTTGCAGTAGGATTGGTTTGAGGAGGATTTGTTGCAGTAGGACTGGCATGAGGAGGATTTATTGCAGTAGGACTGGTTTTAGGGGGATTTGTTGCAGTAGAATCTGTTTGAGGATATTTGTTGCAGTAGGGTTTGTTTGAGGAGGATTTGTTGCATTAGGATTGGTTAGAGGAGGATTTGTTGCAGTATGGTTGGTTTGAGGAGGATGTGTTGCATTAGGCTTTATTTGAGGTGGATGTGTTGCATTAGGGTTTGTTTGAGGAGGATTTGTTGCAGTAGGACTGGTTTTAGGGGGATTTGTTGCAGCAGGAATGGTTTGAGGAGGATTTGTTGCAGGAGGATTGGTTTAAGTAGGATTTGTTGCAGTAGGGCTCGTTTAAGGTGGATTTGTTTCAGTAGGTTTGGTTTGAGGAGGATCTGTTGCAGTAGGTCTGGCTTGCGGAGGATTGGTTGCAGTAGGGTTGGTTTGAGGATACTTGTTGCAGTAGGGTTGGTTTAAGAAGGTTATGTTGCAGTAGGACTAGTTTGATGACGATTTGTTGCATTAGGGTTGGTTTGAGGAGGATTTGTTGCATTAGGGTTTGTTTGAGGAGGATTTGTTGCAGGAGAATTGGTTTGAGGAGGATTGTTGCAGTAGGAGTAGTTTAAGTACGATTTGTTGCAGTAGGACTAGTTTGAGGAGGATTTGTTGCATTAGGGTTGGTTTGAGGAGGATTTGTTGCAGTAGGATTGGTTTGAGGATACTTGTTGCAGTAGGGTTGGTTTAAGGAGGATATGTTGCAGTAGGACTAGTTTGAGGAGGATTTGTTGCATAAGGGTTGGTTTGAGGAGGATTTGTTGCAGTAGGGTTTGTTTGAGGAGGATTTGTTGCATTAGGGTTGGTTTGAGGAGGATTTGTTGCAGTAGGCCTGGCTTGAGGAGGATTTGTTACAGTAGGACTGGTTTTAGGGGGATTTGTTGCAGTAGGATTGGTTTCATGAGGATTTGTTGCAGGAGGTTTGGTTTAAGGAGGATTTGTTGCAGTAGGATTGGTTTGAGTAGGATTGGTTGCAGTAGGATTGGTTTGAGGATTTGATGTAGTAGGACTGGTTTTAGGGGGATTGGTTGCAGTAGGGTTGGTTTCAGGATATTTGTTGCAGTAGGATTAGTTTGAGGAGTATTTGTTGCAGGATGATTAGTTTGAGGAGGATGTGTTGCAGTATGATTGGTTTGAGGAGGATTTGTTGCAGGAGGATTGGTTTGAGGAGGATTTGTTGCAGTAGGTTTGGCTTGAGGAGGATTTGTTGCAGTAGGACTGGCTTGAGGAGGATTGGTTGTAGTAGGGCTCCTTTAAGGAGGATTGGTTGCAGTAGGTTTGGTTTGAGGAGGATTTGTTGCATTAGGGTTGGTTTGAGGAGGATGTGTTGCAGAAGGTTTGATTTGAGAAAGATTTGTTGCATAAGGATTTGTTTGAGGAGGATTTGTTGCATTAGGGTTGGTTTGAGGAGGATTTGTTGCATAAGGGTTTGTTTGAGGAGGATTTGTTGCAGTAGGACTGGTTTTAGGGGGATTTGTTGCAGTAGGTTTGGTTTGAGAAGGATTTGTTGCAGTAGGGTTTGTTTGAGAAGTATTGGTTGCAGTAGGACTGGCTTGAGGAGGATTTGTTGCAGTAGGACTGGTTTTAGGGGGATTGGTTGCAGTAGGGTTGGTTTGAGGAGGATTTGTTGCAGGAGGATTGGTTTGATGAGGATTTGTTGCATTAGGGTTGGTTGATGAGGATTTGTTGCAGGAGGATTGGTGTGAGGAGGATTTGTTGCAGTAGGGCTCGTTTAAGGAGGATTTGTTGCAGTAGTATTGGTGTGAGGAGGATTTGTTGCAGTAGGGTTGGTTTGAAGAGGATTTGTTGCAGGAGAATTGGTTTGAGGAGGATTTGTTGCAGTAGGACTAGTTTAAGGAGGATTTGTTGCAGTAAGTTTGGTTTGAGCGGGATGTGTTGCATAAGGGTTTGTTTGAGGAGGATTTGTTGCATTAGGGTTGGTTTGAGGAGGATTTGTTGCTGTAGGGTTGGTTTGAGGAGGATTTGTTTCAGTAGGACTGGTTTAAGGGGGATTTGTTGCAGTAGAATCGGTTTGAGGATATTTGTTGCAGTAGGTTTGGTTTGAGGAGGATTTGTTGCATTAGTGTTGGTTTGAGTAGGATTGGTTGCAGTAGGTTTGGTTTGAGGATTTGATGTAGTAGGACTAGTTTTAGGGGGATTGGTTGCAGTAGGGTTGGTTTCAGGATATTTGTTGCAGTAGGATTAGTTTGAGGAGTATTTGTGGCAGGATGATTAGTTTGAGGAGGATGTGTTGCAGTATGATTGGTTTGAGGAGGATTGGTTGCAGTAGGATTGGTTTGAGGAGGATTTGTTGCAGTAGGTTTGGTTTGAGGAGGATTTGTTGCATTAGGGTTGGTTTGAGGTGGATTTGTTGTATTAGGGTTTGTTTGAGGAGGATTTGTTGCAGTAGGACTTGCTTGAGGAGGATTTGTTGCAGTAGGTTTGGCTTGAGGGGGATTTGTTGCAGTAGGACTGGCTTGAGGAGGATTGGTTGTAGTAGGGCTCCTTTAAGGAGGATTTGTTGCAGTAGGTTTGGTTTGAGGAGGATTTGTTGCATGAGGGTTGGTTTGAGGAGGATTTGTTGCATGAGGGTTGGTTTGAGGAGGATGTGTTGCAGAAGGTTTGATTTGAGAAAGATTTGTTGCATAAGGATTTGTTTGAGGAGGATTTGTTGCATTAGGGTTGGTTTGAGGAGGATTTGTTGCAGTAGGGTTGGTTTGAGGAGGATTTGTTGCAGTAGGACTGGTTTTAGGGGGATTTGTTGCAGTAGGTTTGGTTTGAGAAGGATTTGTTGCAGTAGGGTTGGTTTGAGGAGAATTTGTTGCAGTAGGACTGGTTTTAGGGGGATTTGTTGCAGTAGGTTTGGTTTGAGAAGGATCTGTTGCAGTAGGGTTGGTTTGAGGAAGGTGTTGGATTAGGGTTTCTATGAGGAGGATTTGTTGCAGGAGAACTGGCTTGAGGAGGATTTGTTGCAGGAGAACTGGCTTGAGGAGGATTTGTTGCAGTAGGACTGGTTTTAGGGGGATTGGTTGCAGTAGGGTTGGTTTGAGGAGGATTTGTTGCAGGAGGATTGGTTTGATGAGTATTTGTTGCATTAGGGTTGGTTTGAGAAGGATTTGTTGCAGTAGGGTTAGTTTGATGAGGATTTGTTGCAGGAGGATTGGTGTGAGGAGGATTTGTTGCAGTAGGGCTCGTTTAAGGAGGATTTGTTGCAGTAGGATTGGTGTGAGGAGGATTTGTTGCAGTAGGGCTCGTTTAAGGAGGATTTGTTGCAGTAGGATTGGTGTGAGGAGGATTTGTTGCAGTAGGGTTGGTTTGAAGAGGATTTGTTGCAGGAGAATTGGTTTGAGGAGGATTTGTTGCAGTAGGACTAGTTTAAGGAGGATTTGTTGCAGTAAGTTTGGTTTGAGCGGGATGTGTTGCATAAGGGTTTGTTTGAGGAGGATTTGTTGCAGTAGGGTTGGTTTGAGGAGGATTTGTTGCAGTAGGGTTGGTTTGAGGAGGATGTGTTGCATTAGGGTTGGTTTGAGGAGGATTTGTTGCAGTAGGACTGGCTTGAGGATTTGTTGCAGTAGGGCTTGTTTAAGAGGATTTGTTGCAGTAGGATTGGTTTCAGGAGGATTTGTTGCAGTAGGGTTGGCTTGAGGAGGATTTGTTGCAGTAGGGCTCGTTTAAGAGGATTTGTTGCAGTAGGATTGGTTTGAGGAGCATTTGTTGCAGTAGGGTTGGTTTGAAGATTTGTTGCAGTAGGGTTGGTTTGAAGATTTGTTGCAGTAGGGTTGGCTTGAGGATATTTGTTGCAGTAGGTTGGTTTGAGATGGATTTGTTGCAGTAGGATTGGTTTTGAGGAGGATTTGTTTCAGGAGGATTTGTTGCAGTAGGACTAGTTTGAGGAGGATTTGTTGCAGTAGGACTAGTTTGAGGAGGATTTGTTGCAGTAGGACTAGTTGCAGGGGGATTTGTTGAAGGAGGATTGGATGAATATGGCTGGTTTGAAGATGA